TCCCATAATGGCAGTAATGCATTGAATTTGACGCTCATTTGACATTTCATATAGAAAAAGTGTGGAGTATAGTGAAATTATCTAGGTACCATATTGCGCCTTCGTACGTCAAATTCTGGGGAGGCTTCAACTTGGTAGTTGTTTATACAAGAGGTTTGCCACCCAGTCACAAAATTTTTAGTATATACAGTAGTGTTGGGGGGTTTGTTGAGATGTTCGATGCTACTTTAGAACCCCAACAGCTTTGGTATTTTTCAGGATTTGTTTTTCTTCAATTTTTCAGTTGAGGTGGCGGGGTTCGGAGAATTCGGGGGAGGTTTCGTGAGTGGTATGAGTTTAAGAGAAATATATTATTCCGGGATTTTCCCTCTTAACAGATTAAAACAACAGTTTCAAATATATTATTGTACTAGAATTATTTTCAAGGAAATTTTGTCGGAAGAAAAAAAAAGAAAAAGAATCCTCCAAGTTTCCAATTATTTAAATTGACGAATTGCATTTTCTATGCCCAATACCAGTCCCAGCCACTTGGCCATCCTTTCAGGAGATTAAATATCCTATTAAATATTCACTTGCAATATGCTCCGGCGGAGAGTACCATGACAGTGCCTCTGGAGGCTGTAACCCAGTATTAGGTACCGAGGTATTGTCCTATCTCAAGCAACTTAACAGACGCAAGAAGTTAGTCTTGGTGACAATGAGGCTTTTATCCACCGCAGGTGGTACACACGTTGTAGTAAACCAGGAAATCCTGATGAAAAAAAAAAAAGAACCCTTGCATCTAAACCACTCTCTAACAGTGACTGGATACTTGAGATAAAGGGAGATTTAATTGTCACGTCTTTCATTCCTGGAAAATGTACTCTCCTTTTGTCAAATTACATTCTAATTTTTATGAATTTTTCTTCAATTTATCCCTTCGTCCCTTTTGTGCATTGAAATTTCAGATGCAATAGATGTTCTCGGGACTGACAAATGCCGTTGAGAATGACACTATGGGAAAACACATGTTGTCCAATGCCCTGTCACACAGGAGAACCCAAGGGGGAGAGAGTGAACGAGCGGAAAAAGCACGAGTTTACGAGGACTCTCGCTGATGGGTATATATCCAACTCCTCTCGCCCATTCCCCCTGTCTATTTTTTCACTTTTTTTTTATTGTGCTTCATTCGCTCGATTTTTCGCGTCCTGCATTGAAGGCGACACAAGCGCGCGAATCGTTTGCCATGCACAACTGCATCAATTCATATTTTTTTCCTATTGTTCTATTTTATTATGTTTTTATGGGGTTATGGATTTTAGGTCTGGTTTATGTTCCCCTTTTGACGAGTTTCCGAATGAATTTCAGAGTTCTAGAGTGTATTGCAAACATGAATGAATAACCAATCAATGAATTTCTATTGAAAAAAAAAAAAAAAAAAAAAAAAAAAACAAAAAAAAATTNTCTAAAGTCTCACAAAGTATTTTGCATTCATTGCTTTCCATTGTTGAAGAAAAATTATTTGTTTGAAAAATTATTTGATTCTCTAGTATTTCAAGCTCGTAATGAAAATCAGTTATAGCTGAGATAGTCTAAAAAGTCGTTTGTAATTCTCCTCTAACCCAAGATCAAGGGAATACCTCGTGAGTCACGAGTAGCCAGTAGTCCTTGTGAGAGGAATTAACGATATAGCCGACGAAAATTTTCTCATCTCGGGATCGTGGATTCCTAATGCAATATATTGGGGATACCTCCGAGTGCGAATGCCGGTAAAGTCACGCGATAACCGCCCTCGGGGGTACCCAGCCCTTTTGCTAATGCGAAAAACGAGCTTTTAAATGCGACCCGACGAGCTGAACTAGGTGGCATCACGCTAAGTGATGAGAATGGCATAACAAGACTTTTTTTTTCTAAAGTATAACAGAAGCCATTATCCATTTTTTGTATCAACAAAAATTGAAAAAGTATAAATGGATTTTTTTTTCATTAATGAAGTTGCGTGAATAAAGGGAAAAATCAGCAAAAATTCTACCAAATCATTTCAACAAACATGAGAAATGATTAATTACGCTCATCAGGCATTTTGGGCACGTGTATATATAACCCCCAGCCCAACAAAAAAAAAATCCCACAAATTCCATTTTTTGTTAGCGAGAGAAAAAAAAATTACTAACCACGTGTAGCTGCGTGTCGTCATATTGTGCTCTCCCAGTTGCAAAATCCTGGAGGCGGGTAAATAACGCGTTTGAAACCCCTCGGTGCCCGAATAATGAATAACGAGTGAGAACCAGCTTTGAAAATTAACACCACCTCCGCGTATGGGAGTCGGCCACTGACTGAACTCAAATGCACGCCACGGAGGAGAGGAGACCCGAATCTGGATGCCGGGAGGCATAGAGGAGGCTGCGTAGACCGGTCAGGCATAGCGCACTACAAGAAACCAAGGCCCTCTTGGGGCGGTTATTTCCTTCCGTTTTCTTGTGTCTGAGACCAACCGAATGATCAATGAGCCCCCCCCCCCCCCCCCCCCCCC